CTACAAGAGCTACATAGCTCGTCTGACGCACCACATGCGTCAGCTGCATCCCGCGAGACCCAGGGAACAACGCACTCCAGTGCACGTTCCGAAAGACCTTTCTACATGTTCTCACGTATTCTTACGTGTCGACCAAGTGAGACAGCCTCTCTCCGCACCTTACACAGGTCCATACCGTGTTATTAAACGGTCTTCAAAAACTTTGGTGATTGACCGTGGGGGTAAAAGGGATACTGTCTCGATAGATCGCGTCAAGCCTGCGTTCATCGATGAACAACAGTTTGTTCCATCATCGACCTTAACGCAATCTTCGGAGCCACCTGTAACGACTCCCAGCTGTTCAGCTCCACCACAATCCCAGTCACAAGATTCGCCTCAAACTAATACCAGTCACGGTAGAAGAGTTCGTAAACCTGTTCGTTTCTCCGATTTTGTCGAATTCATCCACACTTCGTGAATCATTTTCATTTTCTCTCGTTGTTGGTATTATGCTTTTCCGTAAATATCTGAATCTGTCTCCCCGAGTTATTTCCCCCCATCTATCAGGTAAAGTCATGAGGCTGGCACGTTGGGTCCGTCCGTTCAATGGTTGGCTATTTCTCAATTGTTTGGTCGTTTGGATGCTTTGGTCTACCCCCAACGCTTTGTCGTCTCGCCCGCCCACGTTGGCCTTTGGATCGTGGTCTGCTTGACTCAATTTGGCTCGCCTTGGTCGTTTGTCTGGCTCGCCTTCCTGGCTTTGGCTGCTCGTGTGCCTGGCTCGTTGTTTTTGGCCCCCCCACGACTCGCCAGTACGAACAGGATTTCAGCTTCGTTGTGGCAGTGGATTGGAATGCGGTGGGGGGAGTGACCTCTCCCAAGCGCACCGTCTTTCAGCAGCGGTGAAAGGTCCTACCGGCCCTTTTTCTGGATTATCCAGTTTTTTGTAGCCCGGTGTGCCCGCTGGGACGGCCCACCGATGATGCATTCCAATCCACAAGAAGATTAAATAATCCAAATACAACCGAACTCCTGTGATTCTGCCTTTATACATGTGCAAGCCAACAGCGATCGAAGTCCTCGTCCCTCGGCCTTCTAGGGGGAGGCCTGTGTAGTGACCATGACATTTTACTCCATCAAACATCACGTTCAGACTTGTACACATTTTGTTTTACTTTGCACCCGTCCAAAGCCTATATATACTGGACTGTGATTTTGAACCAGGTCCGCCATCTTGCCTGCGCGTTGCCGGCTGTTGCGCTCCTACGTGGTGTTACTTATTGCTTCACCGTTTTTTCCCATTGTCCTCAAGCTATATTCACATAGCTATTGTACATAGCTATTTTCTCAAGACAATCTTTATATCCCGCCGTCTTCTGTCTCACCGGGCTACGGTTTTCTTGTGTAGCATTCGTCGAGCCGCTACACCATATTAATTTTGCATTACTTTTCAAAAGCTCATTTAGTGGGATCTGTGGAGGCTGCATATTAGGGACAAAGCTGTTGTATTAGTTTACTAGTTCTAAAAACGACTGGAGCATATATCTGTCTCTTGGAAATTGTAGCAACTAGATTGTAATAAATTTTAAAGGACCAGGACGGCCATCACTGGCACCGATGGTTGAACCACAGTAGGAAATTCGGGACGTGAAGAACGCACATTTACCCGTTCGCCGTGTAAATCCGAAATTTCTGATCCTGCCAAAAACTTATTTCAGGGGCGCCTGATTGAACTCAACTGAAGCATTTACAATAACTATGTCACATATGTAAGCCATAACAACAAACACTCAGTTTGACATAGTGTCCATTACTTGTTGGAAAATTGCAGGTGCACACTTAATTCCAAATGGCAGTCTCTTGTATTGATATAGACCTTTATGAAGCTTAATCCTGTGGTGTCTTGATTCCTCATTGACTTCAACTTATAAACAGACAATTTTTGTAACTATTGCGATAACATTTAACCATACTAACATGCCATCCGGGAATTGGGGAGTCCGAAGTGCAGCATTTAGTCCAGTCGAAATTTACCGTAACTACGTACTGTACCATTGGCCTTCTCCACTAGCCCATGTTGAACAACTAACGTTTTTTTAGCACGCTCAGTTGCTCTAAGCAATCCAGTGCTGTATCAACCAAAAGAGGTGTTAAGTAAAGTTCTGGCCTTATAGAACTGAATACTGGTTTTACATCGGGTGTAACGTACAAAGAAGCTCGCACTTTGGTGCACAATCCAAGTTCTGGATTAAAGGCATTAGAATTTTCCCCGCAAGCTTGTCAAAATGTCATTTGTGTTTTTTATAATCAGTTACATCTTTTAATGCATTCGTTCCAGCAGCTCACAAGCTACAGAGCAAAGCTACAACGACAGCAGTTAAAGACACATTTCACATATTCTTAGTTGAACTGATTGGAAAATCTCATCAGTGTAACTCATCTATCCAGTCAATACCTATTAAATTTTGTTCATTTGCTACTGTACTATAACACGTTCATCTGCATTTATTGTTCCGAAATACGAATTCACAATTAAATAAATAAAAAAATAAAGTTTTTATTCTCGACATGATCATGTTAACATAACAATGCGTGATCAAGAATATGCAAAGATCCGATATGTTTGCCTTAACAGTGTATGTTTGTGTCTGGATGTATATGCGTATGTACTTGTGTGTGCGTGTAGCTGTAGTTTGTGCTTGTAATTGTGCTGCTTCATCCTCGTATGTCTGATATCGTCGGCCATGTAAGAGTAGAAGATTTATGTCCGTGGGTTGGAAAGGATTATATAGATATCAATGGGGCGGTGACTATATTTTGTGGTGAGTCATGACCGCCACATCACAGTATTGTTAAGCAGACATTTGTGGCTTTTTAGAGGAAGAACGCTTGCCAAGCGAAAACCAACCACGTCTTGGAACACTGCCGCCGAACTATTTGCTGGAACGGGATAAACGCGAACCACCTAACTAGCACCACGAGGAGGTTGTCCGCCTAGCCAGTTTCCCTAAAAGGAGAATTGACTTGTCAGAAGCATTCCAAGAAATGCGTTTAGTGACACATTACGTTGGTTCTCCAGCTTTTACCCAAATTAAATATGAAATGAGTTTTAGGTAAGGCAGTTTCAATTTTATAGTAATCGGCAAATTACTAATTAATAACGTAACAACTTTTCGACCGGGCCTTCCCAGTGGACTGTGTGTTGTGGACACCAAATATGACTGTCTTCGCGTTGATCGATGCTGCTTGGACAAGCTGTCAGAGTGTCCCTCTTTGTGAACGAATGCATCACAATCTTGACATATATGGAATCGAAATTCACAAAAGCTTGCAAAGTACCAGGGGCCACAATTCCAACATGCAGTTGGTGGTCTTCGGGACAATCTTCGTTGGTTTGGAGTTCGGTTTTGCTCCACGAGTGATTTGGTGATTTCATCAACCAAAGTAATAGCTGAGTAACCGTTGGTTGACTGTACTATTTGTAACTCATATTTCAGATTCATCATTCCGAGGTTTTCCGTTATTTGACCATACGGGGAAACACCGCAACTGAAGTCCAGTTTTCAAAGTAACCTAGTTTGGATATTTGAGTCTGCAGGTGATGTTAAGCCAGAAACAAAACTCAACGCCCGGAATTAGTCACCAGAATTCTTTTAACTTGAAACCTTACACCTTGTCTAAGGCGATCACTCAACGCGCTGACAAAAACTGGTCGCCTTGGACAGGTGATCGCTATCGACGGTTTCACGCATAGGGATATTACTCATAGGAGAAAGTGTTGGGGTTTTGACTGGTCGTCACAGCTGTTTGGGCTGCACTATGTTTACTCTTAAGGAATATGCCACACTATTTTCGTTGTCTGCCCTTGTGATATTTAGGGAAATACAACGGACGGTAAATTGTTGTGCGCTTATCCAGTATTTCTTGAAAGCTGCAGTATATATATTGTGTTTTCCAAACATCCAAATTTATGCAATAATAGCCGAACCCATTTTTTATTCATCCATTGTTGAACTGTCGACGATGAACATACTGTAGGACAAGTTAGTACTAGTCCGAGACAGTGCGCGAAATTAAGCGGGGATATCAGAAGGCTATTTGAGTCGGACACAGCGGAATGTATTCGATGGGCCACATGAAGATGCGGACGAATGAAGCGAGACAAGAGCGAACACGTGAGCGCAGGAACTTACAAGACGGTCGAGTGTCGAGCCGGTTATAAGGAAGATTGAAACAAGAAGGAATAATGTACAATCGGGTAACAATTAAATTGTACTTGAAAGATAGCAGTTATCTTTTTGGGTGCTACGGAGCTCCCCTCCTAGAAGGCTGAACATAGGAAGCATTTGATTTCGAAAAGAACTGTTGAATCGAGGTTCGTAAGGCAAAATCGTGTTGAGTAAAAATGAGCGAGCGTTCATGTCATATGGGGTTCGCCGGAATTCGGAGTCCGCTGTGCCATTTGTGATTTGTTATCAATTGATTGCAGGGCAGGGTGCATTTCGGCTAGCCGTTGGAGCGGGTTTGTCGGACGACAAAAACTGGCTATCCCGGAAAAAGGCCGACAGGACGTCAACCTCCGCTGCTGCCAAACGGTACGCTTATGTCTGGTCTCTCCCCTCGCCGCACCCCGCTCCGCGCCAAAACTAGCCTCGTCCCAAGGAAGAAAAGACAATCGTCCCAGGAAGAAACGAACTTCGTCCCACGAAGCGGCGACTCTCGTCCAGCGAAGAAGCGACACTCGTCTCGCGGGGAAACGACCCGCGTTCGCGTCATGGTCTTCAAAAACATTAAACGCGTGGGTTGATCGATCGAACGGGAGGATTGAGGCATGTAGAGACGAAAAAATAGAAAAATATGCACAGGAAACGCCAAAAAGAACTAGCAAATGAACTGCGTATTTAAATTTTTTGGTTTTTAAGTAATTTTTTAAAAGTTTTTCGGAGGTTTTTGATATTTCTGTTTGTTTTTAACACGTTACTGGACCAAAACCGGGGCAAATATGTACAAAATCTACAAAGCTAAACGTATTTACACTGTATATATTCGGAGAAACAAACCGGCTTACGCACCTCCCGACCACGACGATTGGTCGTGGGAGGTGGTGGGCTAGATTCGGAAGATCTCGGGACGACTGAAGCTTGTAGACCGAGATCGTGGTCTGGATGAACTTCACTAGGATGCTGAAAGCTGGTGCGGTGAGTTGTGACGTCGCACGAAACATTACTAGACGAAGTAGGTGAGGTGGTTTCTTCCATAAAGGCGGGTTTTGGACGGTCAATGATGACGACTTCGCGTCGACCACCGCGGTCAGTTGTGTACGTCTTACTCGCACGGTGTAGCACTTTGTAAGGTCCTATGTACGGCGACTGAAGAGGCTGTCGAACACCGTCTGCGCGAAAAAGGACGTGTGAACAGGTAGACAGCTTTTCGGGCACGTAGACTGGTGTCTGCTGCGCTCGAGGAGCGGGTGGACGTAACTCACGCATCTGGTGCGCCAATCTATCAGTGTAACTTCCGTCGTCAAAAGAAGAAGTAGAGGGGGCTGGTGCTACCAGCTGTCCGGGCAACCGCAGCCTGCAACCGTACACTAACTGTGTTGGTGTGGTGTCGAAACTGGTTTTAACAGTGTTGCTTATGTTTAAGAGAAAGACGGAAAGTGTTTTAGACCATGAAGAATCTGCGTGCAGCCGTAGCGCTGCCTTCAACTGGCGGTGAAAAGGTTCCACCATGCTGTTCGCGGCCGCATGATACGCCGTCATCTGAACGTGAGGACAGCTTAGATCCTAAAGCAAAGTAGCAAATGTTGACGAGAAATGTGAGCCTTGATCGGTGATCACGATGGCGGGGCAGCTGTATTGAGCTACCTAGAGCTCCAGAAAAGCTTTAGCTACCGTTTCAGAGGAGCAATTTGGGATAGGGACCATCTAGTTAATCAATCGCTACAGGTCAGTAGATATACAGAGCTACTAGAAGGCAGCAAATAACCTCGAAGGGCGACGTGCACTTGATTAAAACGTGCGCCTGGCGTCGGAAACGTGCCTAATGGTCTTCTCGTGTGCTTGTGCACCTTCGCGCGTTGACACGGAAGGCAAGCAGCTGCCCAAGTACGGACGTCCCGATTAACATTGCGCCAAATGAATCGTGCGGTTACGAGTTTAATCGATGCACGAACACCTGGATGAGACAAGCCTTGCAACGTGTCGAACACGGTCTGCTGAAACTCGCGTGGGACAGCTGGGCGGAACGGGTCGTATGTCCAATGAGGGAGATCTGCGTAGTAGATCAACCTCAGGATCGCTGAGTTGCGCTGTGGCCATGGCTACCAAGTCGCTGGCAGTGCCGGCGTCAGCAGAGATAGCTTGGATACGGGAAAGTGCATCCACGACGGCGTTGTGCACACCTGAGACATGAGGTATATCGGTCGTAAACTGAGCGATATAGTCAAGGTGGCGCGACCCTCTAGGAGAGTATCGGTCGGTAGTCGAGCCAAGCACGTAAGTCAGGGGTTTGTAGTCGGTGAAGACGACAAAGGAGCGGCCTTCTAAGACGTGTCGAAAGTGACGTATCGCTAAATATATGGCTAGCAGTTCTCTACCGAATGTGCTGTAGCAAGATTCGGTAGGTTGTAGGCGTTTGGAGAAAAACGCTAAGGGCTGCCATGTGTCGGCTACTGGTTACTGCAAAAGAGCGCGACTGCCATGTCTGAGGCGTCAGTACTGAGGGATAGTTAAAGATATACCGTTCACCTGTGCATATTCGGACGATATCCTTGTTACTGGTCGAAGTGACTCTGATCACCTAAACACATTGCGTACTGTTCTCCTGCGTCTGGAAGAGTGTGGGTTAAAAGGTAAAAAAGTCCAAATGTGAGTTCTTATCCGGTTCTGTTTGTTACCTTGGTTACAAACTGGACAAAACCGGTTTGCATGTCCTGCAAGATAAGATAGCGCCTATTGTGCAGGCACCTCATCCCAAGAATAGCGATGAACTACGATCGTTCCTAGGAATGTTGTCCCACTATCGTCGTTTCCTACCTGATGCCTCGACCATTCTTGCTCCATTAAACGAACTGTTACATAAAAACATCCCGTGGATGTGGAAAAGTGAGCATCAATCTGCTTTTACTTGTGCAAAGAAGTGTCTTGCTTCCGCACCTATTTTGGTCCATTACGATAGTGAAAAACCGTTAATCTTACAATGTGACGCCTCTCCATACGGAGTCGGAACAGTTCTATGCCATAAAATGTCCAATGGTGCCATTCACCCGATTGCATTTGCTTCACGAACTTTACAACCCGCCGAAAAGAATTACTCCCAGCTGGATAAAGAAGCCCTGTCAGTAATATCTGGCGTCGAGGGGTTTCATCAGTACATTTGGGGAAACTATTTCGAAATACAAACCGATCACAAACCACTGATACCCTTGCTGAGCGAGTCAAAGGAAATCGAGCAGATGTTTTCACCGAGAAGGCAATGCTGGGCATTAATATTAGGTGCATATAAATATCGAATCTCGTATATTCCTGGGTTGAACAATCATACAGCGGATGCATTAAGCAGGTTACCACATGCGACCCCAGACGAAACACTGGAGGAACCATTAGAGCTTGTAAATCTAATGCAACACCTCGACACCACTCCATTGACAGGTGACACCATACGTCAGTGGACCGATCGTGACCCAACGCTATCTTCTATAGTGCGATTTACAAAAACCGGCTGGCCTACTACTGTTCCCGTCGAGCTTAAACCTTACGCACAACGGAAAAATGAATTGAGCCTTCACGATGGATGCTTGTTTTGGGGATCCCGCCTGATTCCACCGCTAAAGGCACGGCCGTTCATCATAAAGGAACTCCACAACGCACATCTAGGCGTTGCCCGAATGAAAGCCTTGGCGCGCGGTTATTGCTGGTGGCCTGGTCTAGATACAGAGATAGAGAACTATCTAAAAACATGTGGTTGGTGTCAGCAGTATCAGTCAAATAAAGCTCCCGGTCCGGTACACCATTGGCGTTGGCCTGAAAAGCCATGGCAGCGCATCCATGCGGATTACTTTGGACCCATTAATGGTGTATTTCTCCCGATGCTAATTGACGCTCATTCGAAATGGATAGATGTTTATCCCGTTGTCCACCCTACTACAGAGACAACTATCTCCAAAATGCGGTCGTCATTTGCAATCTTTGGGATACCGGAGACACTCTGCACAGACAATGGGTCATGTTTCACTAGCAAAGAATTTGAAATCTTCATGAATAGCAATGGTGTCCAGCATGTCCGTACAGCTCCATATCACCCTGCTTCGAATGGGCTAGCGGAAAGGGCAGTGCAGACAATTAAAAGAGGTCTGTCGAAACAAGCACCAGGAACTGTTCAGGCGAGGTTAGATCGCTTGCTATTTGCTTACAGGATAACGCCCTCGGAAGCCATTGGTAAATCACCCGCGGAGATGATGTTTGGCAGAACGCTCCGTACCAGGCTGGATCTTCTGTTTCCAAATCATAGAGCACAAATGGAGAAGAAACAAGACAAGGCTGCCGCATCGCAAAATAACCACGACTCTAGTTGGCAGCCGGGTGATCCCGTATATACAAGACTTCCCCATGAGCACTGCTAGCAACCCGCAACTGTAATTAAAGGTGATTATACCCAAGCAGATCTTGAATTAAATGGTCGAATAGTACGGCGACACTCAGACCATATACGCTCACGTTTTATTGGGACAACTGCAGATGAACGTCTGGGTGAATCAGCATCCGTTCAGCCGGAAACGGAAGCAAACCCCCAGGATTCTGTACAATCGTCAGATGCACCAACGCTTCGCAGATCTCAGCGTACGCATAAACCCGTTGATCGGTTCGTGCCAGGAGTATAAACATTTCAAGAGATGAGGGGATGTCACGTACGCGAATGACTTCGATCCGTTTACTCAGCCGTGCGTGGATTGGTTACCACTCACACCAGCCAGCCAATCATCAGACACACACCCCCGGTCTCGCAACGCGAGTTCCGTGAGTCTTGTACCTTCCTCAATTGATTGATAAACCTCCTGCTGTTTAGACGTCTTCTGCTTGCTGGGATTACGTGTCTCAGAAGCGTGCGTTACATGCTTAGTGGTAATACTTATTAGGCGGCCGGATCGTAATGCGCTATAGAAGCTATGATGGCAATAGCCTCCTTCAGCGACTTAAAAGCAGCGCGCGCTGCGGCTAGAAATTCGAATTTCTTGAGTTTCCCTCGGAGAAGGTCCGTGAAGTGTAGCATCAGCGAAGCGTAGTTGGGTATAAACCGTCAGTAAAATTTGAGAAGCCCATCAAAACGCCTAAGATGTTTGAAAGAATGAGGCTCAAGGTAGTCGATGATGGCTTGAATTTTATCCTGCAGTGGCACGACGTCTGCAGAGGAGATACGATGGCCGAGGAAGTTTACTGAGTCGACACCAAACGAACACTTTTCTGCGTTGATCGTCACCCCGTGTTGAGATAAACGATCAAAAGGTGTTCGTAAGTGGCGCAGGTGCTCTTCTCGTGAGCAGCTCGTGATTAAAATGTTGTCGCGATAAGCGTAAGCGAAGTCTAAGCCGTGACAAACTTGGTCGATGAAGCGCTGAAAAGTTTGCGCGGCATTCCTTAGACCAAGTGGCATGCGCAAAAACTCGAACAAACTAGATGGAGTCGTCACGGCAGTTTTAGCGATGTCCGCTCGGCTACCGGACTTTGGTTGTATGCGCGTACCAAGTCGATTTTGCTGGAGATATTTTACCCGCCAGATTAACGATGAGATCCACGATGTGTGGTATCGGGTAGCGATCAGGCGTGTTCACTGTATTCAAGGTTCGATAGTCGCCGCCAGGACGCCAGTCCTCCATGACCTTCTTCGGGACCATGTGCAGAGGCGACGCCCATGGGCTGTTGGACGGTCTGACGATACCGAGCTGAAGCATGCGGTCGAATTCAGCTCGTGCTGCACGTAGTTTGTCAGGAGCAAGCCGTCTTGGTCGTGCGCTAACTGGTTGACCGCGCGTGACTATGGGATGAGCGACGTCTGTCGTGACTGGTGGAAGCTCTGCAGCTGGTAGTACCAGTCGCGGGTATTCAGACAGTAGGTTCGCATAATCTGTTGACACCTCGACGTTTCGGAAAACGGGACTGATCATCGGGGCGTCCGTAAGAACGCTTTCAACCCCTAGTTTAGTACGGTCGTCTAAATGTCTGTGGCGACCAGCATCAACAAGCAACCCAAAATGTCGGAGGAATTCGATACTGATAATTGCGAAGGGTACAGACGCAACCATGAAAACCCACTGAAAATCTCGGCGCGAATTGATGTTCAGGTTCATAATACGTTGACCGAATGAAGCTATCGGCGAACCGTTGGCCGCACGCAAATTGTACGTAGGCGCTGAGTGCTTGTCGTTAGCGGTCGCTGGGATGACGCTGACTTCCGCTCCCGTGCCGATGAGGAACGTGATGGAAGAACGTTGATCCTTAATGTAAAACAAGCGATCTGCTTGGTTATTGACTGATGCGTTTGTCATGCTAGTATGCGGGTTATTCGCTTTCCATGAAGCAGCTGGGCCGTGCCGGATGCACCGAGCCCCATAACGTCTAGCTCTTTCACCATATTGGCGGTGATACCAACATAATTCTTCGACGGGTTTGGTATTACCTGTCTGAGAACGTGCAAGGCAAATGTTGCGCTTTCGTGCTAAACGAGACGCACTCGGTACAGGCACAGACGAGCCGCAATGAACGGTAGCCAAAAACGTGGTCAACATTTGATCGTGGCACACGCCGCTTCGAAGCCTTCGTTGCTGCTATCCTGCTGCGAAGTAGCACAATTTCCTCGTCTTTAGGGTCAGATCGGCCTGACGACTGGGAGCAAATATGAGATCCGGTTTTCATCGGTGAGAATACGTCACCGGAGTTACTGGTCGTCTGCTGCGGAAAACGTTCGAACGCAGCGTCTGACTTGGTACCTAATTCTTTCAAGGGTGTATCTATAAACATGGACAGCATTACCGGCAATGGCTCTGAGAGACGTGCAAACCACAGCTGCTTTATCCCTTCTTCGCTCAAGAATAAGGGACTAGCGATGCGCTGAAGTTCGCGGAGCAACGCCGACAGCTTGCGATCTCCAAGTTTGAGACCATTGAGCTGTTCAAATCGAGTTCGTGCGCTGGGCCGTAACTCTTTTAAAATCGCTTGCTTCATCGTTTCATACTTTGCCTCATTCGGTGGGCTAAGTAGCATGTCCTCAATCAACGTCACAACCGACGAAGGAGGGCGTGGGACGAGCTGATCGTACCTCGGACGGTCCTCCGTAATGCCCTTATTTTCCAGTTCGATCTCGAATATCATAAACCAAACCTCTGGACTGTGTTCCATGAAACTTGGAACGGCGAAAGGAAGCATGTTTACGCTGCGAAAGACTCAGATGCCACTCTCGAAATGTGAGTCTAAAGGATAAAGGCTAAACCAAAACACAATCAAAGTACTAAAATTACGCAAGAAACAAATGAGTACAGGTATATAATTGAGAAAAACGAACGAAATCACCAAGAAATACAAAAGAAGAAATAAAGTTGACTTCGCGCGTGCGAATTGGGGTCACCAATTTGTAGGATTAGTTAATACTAGTCCGAGACGGTGCGCGAAATTAAGCGCGGATATCAGAAGGCAATTTGAGTCGGACACAGAGGACTGTATTCGATGGGCCACAAGAAAACGCGGACGGATGAAGCGAGACAAGAGAGAACACGTGAGCGCGGGAACTTAAAAGGCGGTCAAGTGTCGAGGCGGTTGTAAGGAAGATTGAAACAAGAAGGAATAATGTACAATCGGTCAACAATTAAATTGTACTTGAAAGATAGCAGTTATCTTTTTGGATGCTACAATACCCTCACATCACTTGTACCAAGCTAAATATATATTACCACTACCTGGGTTAGAGTCGATTTCTTGAAATTCATTGGCCAATATAACCCTGAGTTGAGTATAACTACTGCTTTCTGGAACTAGTTTTATGAACTGAATTCTTTTCTGCTAGTATTTCTAATAGTTTCTGCTACTGGTCCAATCGCTGTTGCTGACCTTGTAGCATTTGCGTGATAGTGCTTGATCAACCATCCCTGCTGCCAAACTGTTACTCCCTTGCTTAGTAGCACAGACGCAAGATTAGCACTGCTCTAAACGTTTAGTCGCATATGCGGAAATTACAACTGGCTCATGAAACACAACCCAAGTTCGAGCAAGTTCGAATAATCTGATTAAAACCAATGGATTTCACGTGCCCTCTGGTTGGTTGAAAGTTTGACGTCAGTTCTTACGGTGACCGGATCAGACCGCACACGAAAATTGCGTACAGCAAAAAGCGTACCCGAAAATGCGTACACGGAGAAAAGCGTACACGGGAAATTGCGTACACGGAAAATGCGTACCAGGAAAATTTCACCCTCGGAGCATGGCGCGCATCATACACGGCGAACACGGGTTGGATGGCTTTGCAAATAAACGACCGCCCAACATGCTAAATCCCCTATGGCTCATTCAGAATACTCAACAGACAGAACAGTGCGCGCCCACTGCATTTTGCTGAAGCCTCAGCGATTCGGTGGCTCTAACGCACTTGGTGTGACTAGACTGAGTTCGTTGCAAGTCTAGCCTTGGATTTATGAGATTGGTGACCGCGTCAGTTGACCGATAAACATTTTCTCACTACGGTACTGCATTTGAAAGGATGCCCACATAGTAAAATTCCCCTGCAGAAAATCGCTTGGATGGGAAACTTTTAGCAGTCTGCAGATGTACCCGGTTTCTTACAGTACAATATGTGCAATTGTAATGAAACTTACTTCTTCCGTTACACATTTAGACGCCGGATGAGAAGTGTGGATCGTCAGTTCAAGACGTTTTGGTAAACCGAAAATATGCCCACGGTCGGATCCTTCGCAAATCTGCGACACGCTTTGTCATTTCAGTTTCTCCAACCAGCAGGGTTCACCGGTATCATTATATAGGGGATCCCTGTATGCGCACAACAAAAGTGTGTTCCTTCATGATTCCGTTCGCCTGCACTGATATTTGAGCCTACTGCCAGAAAATGTTCACGAACTCGGTCTGTTCACACCAAGGGCGTTGAAGCCACTGAAGTGGTGAGGCTTCGGCAAGATGCAGTGGGCGAGCATTATTCTGTCTGTTGAGTATTGTGAAAGAGTCACGGGGGAGCTGACACGTAGGGAAGTTGCATATGCGCAAAGAATCCGAACTGGTGTATTTTCGTATTCCCCGTATATCGTGTGCGCCATTATCCGAGGGTGAAATTTTCCTTGTACACATTTTTCGTGTACGCTTTCCTCATGGAACCGGTTCACACACGTGATCTCTTTAATAGCTGCGCAGGCGGAAGGCTATACCAAGAACATTTAAACAGGGCTTACTTTGTTAATATTCCTGTGGTCGTCTGTTGGGGCCTTAAATACGATTGTCTACTTCTAAGTGGCAGACCATTGAAGTGGCGTTTACCAAAGATTTAAATGGTGACCTACTCGTTCTGAGAAGGGCTGCGGCGCATTTAGGAATTTTCTTAACCGGGAGCTAAAAAACCACTCTGTTGTGAACTAATCTGGTGGTGATGGTCATGAGGTATACAAGACGCTAATTTTCATAACCTAGACATCTTCCTGCATTACCTGATGGTAAGTGACTGGCGCAGAGGGAGTCGCTCGGCTCATACACCAACTTCCTGCTTTGTTGACCCCTCAATAATTTGCTTGGCATCCACAGTTGATAAACAAACAATCACAAATGCCTCTCTGTTGGTTCGCCGTAGGTGATACCGTTCAGCACATGAAAACGTGGGTCGTCAGTCGTATTTAGAAGGAGTCAGTCGCACTGACATGTTAAATTACCGTTCAGTGACGTTGTTTCGTGTACTTACTAAAGTCATGGAATGTTGTAGTCCCTGACGGGATGGACGATTACGTTCGTGAATAACTCGTACGAGTTTGCCCAAAGGATAACAGGGCTCATCCTAGAGCTGGATGAACGAATGTCACCTCGCTTTTTACAAATGTATCAAAAGAGGAAGCGTTTAAGTTGGCAAGACACTACCTAAACGAAGACAGCGCATTGGGTAAGAGACCAAGCTTACCTTTAAATAGTGCAGGGCATGGCGTTGTGCTTTATTACATCTTATTTCGTTTTCCAGTCGAAGCTGTACACCCAAGAACTTGGCCATGTGCTGGACATTATTCCCTGTATTGGCGAACTTGAATATGGAGAAGTTCAAGAAGCATGCGCTAGAAAACTCCAGTAGCTGATTTAAAGTTTCGTGGTGTTACATAAACAACACTTTTGTAATAACCGAAAGAGAAAGAAGGAGAAACTGCTGAACCAACAAACTCCATTGACAGGAGAATAAACATTACTGATAACTTGAGTCTTGCAGTAGTCTTATTCCTTAACTGGCTAGTTACTAAAAATGGTGAAAATTTGAATACAACGATCTACCCTAAAGCAACAGATACAAATGGGCTACTGCATTATGCTTTAAGTCATCCAAAGTACGTTTACGCGAGAATAGCTTCATCGCTGTTCCATAGGGCACATGCTCTGTACACAACGAAAGAACATAGAACGGCTGCACGGAAGGAGGCGATGAGAAAACTATGGACGGTGGTCATCCACGAAATCTAGTGAAACGTCAGTTATAAAAGCCCTAGACCCACAGTCAAGGTACCCAACAAAGTGGGTAGAGACTGTGGGCATTTCTTACAAAGAAGGAACCTCAGAAGTAGTTGGAAAGTTTTTGAACAAGAAGGGTATAATGATGATCCTCTAGCGTGGCAAAACCTCACGTCCATTGCGAGTGCGCCTGGAGGACACCCACCTCACAAATTGGACGACAAACTGTGTGTACAAATCAACTGCAAAGATCGTTTACACATGCACATTGTTCAAACATCTAGAGAGCTACGGACACGGAGCTTAGAAAATAAAAGGATCATTTTGCGACCACCGACGAACGAGCTTGTATACAGAGCTCTGTTAAGTGACTATACCTTAGCTATACATGCGCTAGATACCGGGCATCAGATCGATTTGGATAATGTCGGGGTCCTTAGGAGGAGTTTACTGGCGGACTCCTGGCTGTTACTTGTCGAGACGATCGAAATTCCTCAAACTGATAGCTGTGTGAAGGGAATGGGTTTGCAGCTCCCGACTGTCAGCCAGTCCGATGAGTGTGGATACGCAGGTCACTTTGAAGAAAATAGCGACATCATCTTCCCCAAGGCATTAATTGAAAACATGACGGACAGTGAAACCCCGACAACAGCGCCATTCGGACAGACTATTTGAGATGACATTTTCCCCTGTGTCTGTAAGAGTCTCTTTACGCATATCCTAGTTGTCACGATTATCTCCCTTACCGGCTATATAAAGTCACACCAACTATGTACAAATTCACCTGGTCTACCATAGCCTTTTTTCAAAAGCGAACGTTGCCAATTAAGTAAACTAATCAATGGTCCACAAATAGCTTTTAAATCAGTGCTTCATAGTCCTTACGAAGTCACGTAAGCGAGGTAGAGCAACGACCTTGGGTGTGCAGCGACCCTTCACCAAACGCCTCTTAGCCCCATCAACGCTAAATTTTCATAGCTGATGCCAACAATTAAGACTAGACCCGCTACAAATGAGCAGGTTAAAGGCTAGCCCAACATTGCTTCTTCAGACACTAGCCTCACACGTTACTTTCGACCAACAAGATATACCC